CTTGTCCCATTTACTGTCTTGAGGGATCTTTTTCAGTACATAATATACATAATTGAATTTTGACTTAACTTGAAACGTAAGATTACAATTATAAATGACATTACAAGACATAAAGTACTATGCACTAAAAAGTAGAACTCTGATAAGTTACAAAATAAAACCTATCAATCAAGATCATAAAAAGGAATTTAGTCAGAGACATTTTCTCCTTGATTCTTTCTCTTCAACAACTTCTTTCTGATCTTGAGTGAGGAATCATACAAAGACAGCACCTTGATCATGCAGTTGTTGAGGGATAACCTCACTCTATTGAACCTTTTTTTTTTTTTGCTATGATTCAAGTCAAGTTCCAACATGAAATAAGATTTACAAAATGGGAAATGGGAGATGGGAAAATTATTTAAACAATATTAGGGGTTTGACTATTTCATCAAATAAGATCAAATTTAGAAACTTTTATAAGCCAGATTATGAGAACTCAAAGCACAATGGAACAATTGTATGTTGAAAAAAGAATTGCTATGGTTCAGTTGCAAATAAGATGAAACAGATGAAGTTAGACCTAATTGTGGGTGTACACTGAGCCAGAAGCAGCATAACAGCTCGTAGACGTACATGGAGAATATAATTGTAGGATACATTTTACTCGAATTCAAAAAGTAACTTGTTGGTCCCGGCTGGGTCTACAAGAGTTTTAGATGAACAGTTTGTAGAAGGGGGGGATGAATATAAACACAAAAACTTTCAAATTTAAAAATATATATTGATAAAGAAAGATCAATATAGATTTTTGTAGATTGTATGCAAAAATAGACAAGTTATAGATAACCTATCTAAAACAATCTAAGTTTACACACATATATTCTTAGTAAAATAGAAAAGATTTGCTGAAAGATAAAGAAAGAAAGATGTTCTTCTTGGGTAAGAACTTTTAGAATACTTGATAGGGATTCTAACTTTCTTGAAGATAAGCGAGTGTTCTTTTAGATGTATGCAAATATGCGTGTGTGTATATGTATATCCTTCATGGAGAGAGCACTCATCTATTTATATCCATTGCATTAAATGCAATTCAGAAGGGTTTGAACATACGTCAAGCTTTTGGAAGAAAGCTTGTCCTTTGCTACAGTGAATAGTATAGTTGTCTATTCATGAGCAGACATCCTTTCATGGCGTTGGTGGATACTAGAGTCAACTAGTCGGCTCCATACTGTACTATACTCCAGAAAGGGTATGGGTTTGTCCTCTGTGTGTGGAAGGACAATACAAAAACAATCTTGCACAACAAGCTTCATTTGATTGTTGAATGCTGGAACAACACTTAAGGTCTCCTCAACATTCGCTGAGGCTTGGGCAGTCTTCACACATATGTTGACCAGGTTGTAATCACTAAATGCCGCTTCAAATCACGAACGCGCCAGTCACTAATCTTCAGTTCCAGTCTTCGATTTTCACTGAAGGTTCTTTGGTGTGAGTTTTTCTTCTTGAAGTATCGCTGTCGCTATAGGATTTACAGTACATGTTTCAGCAATCACTGAATAGACTCAGTGATGATCACTGAAGCTGAAAGAACAGAAACATAATACTTCGAAATATGTAAAAGGGATTATCATCAAATCAMTGAGAGAGAGGATCAACATAACTGCTAGCACACCAATGGATAGTAGACCCTGTATAGTGTAATTGCTTAGAAGTCATACCTAATAATGGGTGTATACTGAGCCAGAAACAACATAATAGCCTGTATACTTACATGGTATATAATTGTAGGACACATTTTACTCGAATTCAAGAAGTAACTGCTAACACAACAATTGATAGCAGCTTGCTGCAATACCACTTTATTAGACCCTGTATAGTGTAATTGCTTAAAAGGATCTTATTTTTATCCCAAAGTAAGAGTAGAAAGTAACATAATCTAACATAGAAACATTTCCTTGAACTTCTATAAGATAACTTATTACTATATGGAAAAAGAATTCATAAAGCAAACTCTCCTACAAAATTCTTATCTGGCTAATTGATCTTCTGAAAAGAGTACACAAAACCAACTAATATTTTCTGCCAATTAAATTATTGTTATGACCAAAAGAGATGGTAGCAGCGATACATTTAATTTCAAAGCATTAACCACTAAGTTTTCTATACTTATGTCTACTCGAATATGAAGTGAAAACAAAAGAAAACAAACCAATTCAATCATGACACAAGGAAATCAAAACCCAATATCTATAGACAGATTAATCCACGTAGACAACTTCATCTACACATAACTTAATAAAAACCCAACCAAACAGCCCCTTAATCGAATATCTGAAATGCCCTTCGTGCATAGTTTAGTGGCAGTTTTTAATCTCAGTGGGATATCTAACGACAAACCTTATGAATCTAAATCTATGCATCAACACATGGTAATATTGGATCAAATTTTTGTTAGAAAAGGAAATGTTGCATTTATAGATAAGCATCTGATACCATCTTCAGGCTCAGGAGAAGCTACTGTTTTCTACTACAAGAAATGGACATCAAATGGACATTAAATCTGATGTTGATCTGTTCTAAATGATTAAATTACAGGGCCTGCCATTTGGCTAAACAAGCTTTTGATGAGGCAATTACTGAGTTGGATACCTTGAGTGAGGATTCATACAAAGACAACACCTTGATAATGTAGCTGTTGAAGGATAACCTCACTCTATTGAACCTTTTTTTTTTTTTTGCTATGATTCAATTTAAATTCCCAACATGAAATAAGATCTACAAAATGGGAAATGGGAGGTGGGAAAATTATTCAAACAAGATCAGGGGTTTGACTATTTCATCAAATAAGAACAAATTCAAAAAAATTTATAAGCCAGATTATGAGAACTCAAAGCACAATGGAACAATTATATGTTGAAAAAAGAATTGCTACGGTTCAGTTGCAAATAAGATGAAATAGATGAACTCAACTATAAGAGTCTGACATCCAAATAATAAACTAAGATCAAGAAATTTCCTTATTAGTTTTGCTACAAATTCATGGATGAACAAAACCCTAACATCCCCAAATCAATTAAGCTTTTCATGGATCGAGATTTCATATTAATGCATTTATATCCAAAAATATTGCTAGCCTAATTTAACAAGTTGCTTCATCCCTTTAATCACATAAGAAATAGAAAAACCGCATAAATAAGTGAGCTTAACATCGCATGCTAACAATGAAATAACATACCCTACTTGCTTATCTTAATTGAAGTCGTTGCTTGAATGCTTGAACTTCAACAATGCTTCTTGCCTACTTGCTTACATCAATTCTTCTCCAAAAGCACATTAGGGAGGAGGGAGTCATATGTATTAATGAGGTTGTGATACATCAAATTGCTTTGGTACATGAAATTGAACATCTGATTGAGGTGATACATCAAAACCACCATTGTTAAAAGGAACGAGGTATGTGAAGAAGAAAGGTATTTGTATCTAACCCAAATTGGTTTTGGTTGCATATTAGATCAGATACAGGAGAAGAAGAAAGCCCATATTGGTTATTTTAGAAGTCCAAGGAGAGAAAGCAAGTTTGAACCCATTAAGATTTGGTGTTGTAGGAAACACTTACATAAAGAGATCGAATCCAGAAGAAGAAGAAGAAGAAGAAGAAGAAGAAGAAGAAGAAGAAGAAGAAGAAGAAGAAGAAGAAGAAGAAGAAGAAGAAGAAGAAGAAGAAGAA